TTGCTAATAAACATTCCAGAAAATACAGTTTTCATAACCCTGCACTTTTTTTTTTTTCCCCCCAAATCTTATTTTTCTCTGATAATAGTTTTGCTCTGATCAGGTGACAAGTAACATCACAAATAATTTGGCCTATCTTTTAAGTTTATTATTTAATTTTATCCCTTTTCTCTGCAAAAAAATGCTCAGTTGTTTCAAATAACTGTTACTTCCTAATGAAGAAATATTTTCCTTTCATGTATACTTGCAGCCTATGTTGTGTTTTGTGCAGTGTTTTCTTACTCCTATACTTTTGTAGCAAATTTTCAGGGATTTTCAGGGATAGGGTTAGAAGCTTGTTAGGTTAAAGTAAATAATAATAATGATAGTAAAAATAAAATAATTGTGATTAGAATATTTAGGTGAATAACAAACAGACCTGTACAAGCTGATGCTCTTTGCATGGTCAGTTTAAAACAAATTCACTGCAAGAGCAAACAACACCCCCTAGAGCTCTCCAACCATCTTCTAGCTGGCTAAAATATGACCTCCTGGCAGGGAAACGACTGACTTCCCATCTCTGTTAAAAACACTGTTTTCCCATGAGAACTGATAATGAGATTCTTGAGTTTGCAGGCCTACCAGGCCTAGCAAAGCAAAGACAGCAGTAAGTGGCCAGCATCTGCAGAGGATGTGGGATGGCAGTGAGTTTTAAACATGTCCCCAGAGCAGGATGCCTATCTTCCTCTTAGCACAGTTCTTGTAACTGCCTTAAGCTTCAGAAATGCTCCCAACTAGGATTTTGAAGTGCTTGGCTCCTTAAAATGAGGAGATGCTTAACTGGCAAGAAAATGAACTAGAGTTCCTTATTGCTCAGACAACCTGAGTGTAAATACAGGTAAAACCAAGCAGCACATATGAATTTTGGACATTTCTAGAAAATAATTTGCATTAAATTTTGTTGGATGCAATCCTGCACATTTAGTTCCCATGTGTGTAGTTCCCAAACTCTTCCCATTATTTGAAAAATACTTTTGCCCAAAGCTGCTAGATGTAAAGGTGTAAAAATAAATCAGTTGCATCTCTAATTCAGCATTTTTCAAAAAACATTATACTCTTCTGAAGAACGCTCACACAGTCATCTAACTATATAAAGGCACCATAAATGTAAATAGCTTCCTAATCTTTTTTTCTTGAGTACACCCCTTGGGACAAGATAATTAATAGTCCTTGTAATTACCAGGGTAGAAAATATAACGGCAGATGTTGTATCTTCACTAATTGTCCAAAGCTCTGGGAAATTTACGAAATGATTTCTCTCCATAAGATTCGTTACTACGAGTTCCATAGATTAATTATCCATTACATGAAATATGATTACCCTTCTTGACCCAAGTGGTGAGCAGTAACTGAGGTTCCTAATGTTTTGTTGTTGCCACTAAGAGGAAAAGACACTGAAGAATCAGCTTTTTCTTTGATGTAGTCCTGTTTGTCTGCAAAGAATGTTCGAATCTTTATTTCTTTGAGAACACAGGGAGTCAAATGCCTGGAGGTTATCATTATTATTGTCATTATTATTATTATTGTTGTTGTTGTTGCTGTTGTTGTTAGCATTAAACCAGAGCGGCTCTCCTTCCTGCTTTGTTGTTTCTTTTTGTATCCTGTCTTTCAAAGCAATACTCTCCTTTATTTTCTTTGGTCTGACCATGTCTCTGGTTTCCTCTTCTTTGTTCATGTTTGATTCTGTTACCCATGCTGTGCTTCTAGACATCTATACTGTCAAAACAATAACAACAATAAAGCAGTTCCCAAGCTCTCCACTTGCCAGCGAAACTTGTTGGGTCACAAAGTCAATGTTGTCTCATATTTTTGTTTGAGTCTGAGTTGTGGTTGTGATTCCTCTGAGAAGGTCAAATGCTTTATTCAGCTGAACAGAAAGCAGTGATCACATCCTCCAACACAGCCAGATCACAGCAGCTCTAGTCACCAATTTTAACGTTCTAAGTTCCAGAACATCACTGCATCTTTGTATTAAATAGAAAAGGTTTGCTTTCCTTTTTACCATCCACTCTTTTGCCTTCTGAAATGTTTCTGTACTATTCTATTCTTTCCTTTCCAAATATAGGTATCCTCATCTTTTAGCCTTCTTTTCTGCGCTGAAATCTCATCAGTGATTTTCATATGTACTACATTTATGACACTTTCAGGTAACTCGATTTTTAAGTGAAGAAAACTGAATGATCACAGAGGGAAAATAGGCTGTTCCTATATAGGTAACTATTATATTTTCTTTTTGCATTTCTTTTTACGCTGCCTTCCACACTATTTGCTGTTCGGATTTTCAATGAATTTTTAGTTGTGATTATATAATAACATAGTATAATAAACCATTATTCTGTAGTCACACTCTCACAGCCTCCAGAACTCCTTCTAACAGCTCAACTATCTTCTTATTCTGACTACAGTAGTTTCTTCGCTGCACGCCTCAGTGCTTGCTACAGGGGCTAATGTCCAGTGTGTTGTACAGAGCTCCAAACCACAAATAACTGTAAAAGAGCTTTCCACATCAGGTTGCTGGAGAAGCCAATGCAAAATAGGGCTACATTAGCCCATGCTCCTCCTTACCACACAAGTAGTGTTGCATGACACCAGACCTGTGCAGAATTTACTAAGCTACAGGAGGATATGTCTACTGGATATAGGCTCACAACTGCTACCATTCCAGACATCAGTGTTTCAATACTACACATTTATGACTTCAGTCTCAGAACAGAGAACACTTTAGATTTCCATCTTTAACTAACTGCAGATGGGGATGTTGAGCACTGTGGACAGCACTTACTTCAATCACAGTGTTGGAAAGATACTCTATGTGCGTTTGAAGAGCAGAAGATAAACCCTTCTGTGACATGACTGGCCTTTCCATAACCAGATTTCTCTTAACCTAAACACTGTATTGACAACCTTTCACTTTCAGAAAACTCGAGTGAGTAATATTTACATCTTATCTACTCAAGTGTTTACATACAAAAATACTGTCAGTTATCAACAACTGTGTGCCTGCTCTTCCTCGGGAGTCATAAAGTATTAAAATGTGATTGCTAGCATTCTTTTTAATTAATGAGATGATGTTTGCTTTAACACATATGCTAGTAAAGTTGATACCTTTACTATTTTCCTTTTAAGGAGGAAAAAGTGAGATTTAGGAATTCAGTTGAGATGTGGCACCCAGTGGTTCAAGTCCAGTATCTGTTAATCATCATTTAGTTTCCAATCTAACAATTCTGTTACACAGAGTTTTCAAATGTAAAACATTAAGTAGATTGCTGACTTTGAAGAAACACAGACAATTGTACAAAAATGTAGACAACTCTTCGAAAACACTGTATACAGTCCAATATGAAAGCACTTCATATTGGAGATTTAAATTTTCTAAACAGCAAGTCTTGGTCTACACTGCAGGACATTTTTGTATCCTACCTATGTATGTAAATATACACTTTCCTACTACATGACATATAATAGTGACTCCCTGTGCAGTATTCTCTGCAAATCAGAAAAAGAAGCTGATCTTTTAATAGCCCAATTTTCAAAGACTCATCATGCTGTTTCAGGCAACATTCTATGATTCGCACCAAGACAACTCACAGAGTGTATGGCAGGACTGTACACTGTAGTTTGTATTTCCAAAGCACAGCAAACCCACGATCTGGAAGCACGCTACCCCCCACACTCCACTGCCCTGATTGGTTGGCCCCAGAGCCCTGCAACCCTCACCAGCTGCAAACACAAGCACAAAATCCTGGAAGGAACACACAGGTACTGGAGTCTGAAAGAAGAACTGCTCCTTTGTAAGGAAGGCTGCAGCAACAGGTGTTTTTTTATTTTTTGGGGGGAAGGGAAGAGAGGAGTTTGCAGAACAAATCTGTGGGCACTAGAAGAAAAAAAATGCAATATCAACAGCTGCCGTGGTAGCAACAGCACGGCTAGGGCACATGCTCAGTACCTGCTGCCTTTCACGACTTGGTGTTCAATTTATTCAATTTGCACTGTACACTTGGTATTTGTTGGCTACAATGCAAGCTGTCCTGCTCCATTTGTGCACTGATGGAATAGATTATGATCACTTCTGACAGAAATAAAGAACTTGGTCTTATTTCCAAGCCCTCACCACAAAATACACATGATGGCCAACAACGGGTCTGGAGTGTACTGTGTGGAGAAAAAGAGCGGAGCTGCTTTCAGAAGACCCAGACAGTGGCCAAATCAATGACCAAACAGCGCTAGGAGTTGAAGTCGTGCCCGGTTTCAACCCCGACATTTTGTTCTGGTTTCGGAACATTTCAATTAACCCGAACTCCCTCCTCTCTCCCCCCACATTTCCCAGACGAGTCCTGGACCGGCGCTCTGCCCCGACCTTATGGCACCCTGCCGGCAGGCAGAACTCTCGCTCAGCCCTAAGCCCTTACCGGGTGGATACGGCCATCCCGCACAGCGCTCTCCCGGCTCTCAGCGCACGGGGCGCGGAGCTCGGCGGCTACCCCACGCGTGCCGCGTCCCACCCGTGATAGCAGTGGCGAGCACAGCCCCTGCCCCACCGCCGTCCCCGCCGCACGGAAAACCTGGGGCTGGTAACGGAGCCGCCAGGGACAGCGAGTGAGTGGCTGCGGTGTGGCTCCAGCTCATCGCGGTGCTCGCACGTCGGAGAGGATCTCACCCTCTTCGATTCCTCTCTCTGCTCCCCACTCCCGCACCCGTCCCCGTCCCTGCGGCGGTGAGCCCACCCTAGGTGCGAGGTGCCCGGCGGCTCTTTCCTCGCTGCGCTCCGGACGCGAAGCCTCCAGGTCGAGAGGATTTTAAAGCAGGCTGCGTGCCTGCAACCCCCGCCCCCCCCCCAACCCCCCTCCATCGCCGTCCGCCCCCTCGACACGCAGGGAAGGCAAAGCAAAAAGTTGCGCTCTCCGGCCACCCACGCGGCGGCTGCAGGACGGGAGCGGCGGGGCCGGGGCCAGTAGCGGTACCTGTGCCGCCGATGCCCTGTCGGGCGGTCTCCAGTGGGAAGATGCCGGCGCACTTCTCCCGCTCCACCTGCCCGCCCAGGCACAGCTCGGAGATTATTTGAAGCGCTTTGTGGCAGAGGCTGCCCACGCTGTCCTCCGCGGAGAAACTCATTTTCGGGCCGGCCGGTCGCTAAGTCATGGCTGGAGAGGGGCGGCTCCGCGCCGGACCAGAACAGTCTCCCGCGGGGAGCGGTGCGGAACGGACTGGAGCGGAGCGGCGGGCGGGCGCGGCGCGAGTGAAACCGCGCTCACATCCGAAGAAGTAGTGAAGGTTGAGGGGGGG